AACTTTTGGAAACTTCATTTTGCTTATGTAAGTCAGCACCAACTGATCTAAATATCTCAGATATTATTCGTCATTTATATCTTCATACTTCGTACCAAGGTTTCAAAGACAACAAAGTACCGATGAGCCGTGGAACATCTTAACTGAAGATAACCTAGAGTACTTTTTGGGAATTTATTGAAAATTTGCCTATTATTCCAATTGGCAAATCAAGTGTGGTTATTTTTTGATCATTACAATCAGGAAAAAATCGACAAAATTAACGAATTAAACTCAGTGTTTTTCACTGAAATATAATGGGAAATATAATCGATAACATACCTTCGAATAAGAGAGTGCAATAGCATTTGCCTACATTTTTAAAATTAAGTAGTCCAAACTGATAAATTCCCAAGGTGAAGGAAGAAGTAAGACTTTCTGTTCAAAACGTTTTACTCTACCTCCATATACCACATAAGAGTATCTTGATGATATCGGCAGATCTCAGCGTTCATATAAAATATTGAAGCAATTTCTCTCAACATTTTTTGTTTAGCCAAACCTGTAATGTCAGTAGGAATGTGCCTGGACTATAATACTGTATAAAAAGTTATCTGTGACGTCCTTGGACAGGGCTCTGTGATTTGGTATTTTAAAATTGGAAAATATAGTTATTGAATGAACCTTGAAGGTGTTTCATTTAGATGGATGACAGATATTACAAAACCTTATCTTAGATGTTTCTGTATGCAATCTCCCTGATAATTAATAACACACATAATGAGTATGTATATGTTTATTTTCATTCAGTCTTTAGGAAAGGTAAATGTCAATTTTGAAATTAACAAACGCAATAAGGAAAATTTTTAAAATGTTCAGTCTGTGTGTCAGAAAGAACAGAATCATTTGCGTTCATTTGATTTTGTCGTTGCATATGGCATAGTAGAGTTTGAAAGAACCTTTTCACCTACATGGATTCACACTCGCTTCATTCATGTCTGTGAAAACCCCGCAGAACTGTGGCTTCAGAGGATGAAAGCTTTAACTAATTCTACTTCAGTCAGTTTATCTCTTTTGTGACAGCTCATTCCACTTTGCATCAGTAAAATGCGAAACTTTCGTTGGTGTCGTTAAATTATTTGAACCACATATGTTCAGTTTTATAGGGACAGCCCTAAAAGCATCTGTATGTACCTGGGTGACCCTCTCAAATTCCCCATTCTCATTCAATATCAACCTTTATTTCACTCTCTCAGAAATGTTATAAAAAATTTTGTCGTATATTCAAAAATCCATAGATATGTACGACCTCCACCCAGGTCAGTCTGTTGGTACGAAAAAACATTAAATATACACTACAATCAAATCAAATACTCATCTAGTGGTCAACGAAATCAAATGCTGGTAAAAGATTATGTCGTATATTCAAAAATCCATAGATATGTACGACCTCCACCCAGGTCGGTCTGTTGGTACGAAAAGACATTAAATATACACTACAATCAAATCAAATACTCATCTAGTGGTCAACGAAATCAAATGCTGGTAAAAGATTGCATTCAATTCAAAAAACATTCATTCATTCAACAAAATATTGTTATGGAGTTAGAGTCAAAAATAATAGATTATCTGCTAGAGTTTTGACCTTGTTGAGAGGTGGATTGAAATCATTTCTATCAGCGTTCAATTAGATCATTGAAAGAAGACAGACGAAAAAAAACATAATTATTGAATTAGACAATAAAACACTTACGTCAAAGTTACGAGTATAATATCCGAGTTCATTTTATGTACGTACTATATCTTTCCTTTGGTTAGTGTAATTTCGAAATGTTTGCTATATTTCCATAGTTTCACTGTCTAATATCCATCACTTGCGAAAGTTAGTTTCTAGTTATGTCTGTGCGACACTAGTAATTTATACCTATATATTTATAACTAAATCTAAGACTGGATCTGATGTTCATAGGCTCTGTTAGAGACTTATCTGTGAGTATCGCCAATATAAGTTCTGAAACAGTTCTGGTATTTCGTACATGCCCTCTGCCTCATTGGGTACCGTGTCCTTAGGTGTTCGTGAAAAAGTAGAAATTCGATTGTTGGCTGTTAATACTGTTCTTATATTGTGCATTTTCAGAATTCGGCTCATTTTGTCAGTAACTCCATAAATATAAGGAAGGAAAGCTTCTGGGTGGTCTGTCTGTTCATCGAATTGTTAGGGTAGTGGGGTAGGGATTGCTGAACTTGGATGGATATTTGAACTTGACATTTGGGATTGTCATTTTAGCGAAAGGCGAGTCTTATAGACCTTGTATGGGAAAACTCAAAATCGATTTTTGAAATCAGCCAATTAAGCTTACTCCGGAAATTCAAGAAAACAGTTCCATTCAAGAAAGCAGGTATGACGCCATTACTCAAAGTCAGTTCACCTGGATATCCAATTATGGTTTTTAAAAACAATATATCGAAATCCATCTGTTTCAATGGGTGTCAATAATATTGTTCTTTCAGTTAAGGACGCACTGTATACTTTCAATAAATAGAAAAATATTATTGGGACATTGTTCTTGATACTGTGTAGCAATGTTAAATATACCTTCAATTCGAATTCCATGATTCAAAGATGCAGAAGAAAAATAATAATAGAGTTGAATGTGCATCTAGAAATGTGCAGAAAATAAAGCTCAGTTGAAAAACTTTGTGCTCCACGTTATTCTTTTGAACTGAAATTGCGAAAACCTGAAATATATCCTGTCTTATATTCTCAACCAACCGTTATTTCAGTTTTCTGACATTCTGTTTTGTCTTTTACAGGTATGCGGAAAAATAATTTAATTTGGCCCGTATGTGGTAAGTAAATTCTTGTGATGTAGACGCTCGTTTATGTTTATCTTCCATTTTTCGAAATACATTGTGGAATAGAAGCGGAACAAGTGTTGGGGATTTTGATTTTCTGCTTCGGTGAAGGGGTGGTTCTAATTGTTATCATTCGGAACGAAATTTTATAATTGCTTTTATGAGACCGAGTTGTGCATTGTGAAAAATAAAGAAAATTACTTCTCCGGAAATAACTCCAATCTTCATTTCCCATTGATTAACCCCTCAAACAGTATTTATTGCTTTTTTATTATTATTAGCCTGATTCCGGTGAGATCTGTTTTTCCGTAGAGAATGTAATGTTGATTTCGAAGCCGAACTTGAAATGAGAGAAATTTGAACCAACTGTTAGTTGAGATAGTTGTAAGTACCTCTCAGTATATCTTGCTTCCTTGTTGTTTTAAAAAATCGACTCGTCTTTGTTCATTAGATGAAGTATTCAATGTGGAAGACATTAAAAAATACCCCTTTTCGTCATATTCTGGTTCCAATAAATCACTTGAACTGTTCGTTTCGAAAACAAATGATAATAATGAACTGGTCACCTTCTTAGTCAATACCAAGGTAGACTGACAACTGATATTTTAACCATGCATTTTATCAGTTCGGAATTCCATTGTCTGATATAATATGATTTTAAATTTCTGAAATAACAAATGAAAATGAAAATAGAAAAATAGCTGAAAGTAACAATTATATTCAGCAAAAAATCCTCGAATGAAATTATAATAAAATGAAAATTTGTCAAAAAATTGAAAATTGAACAAGTAACTTCACCAACTTGGTTTGAAATCCATTAAATTTCATTTCAATTTTCAATTTTTTGACTAATTTTTATTTCATTGTAATCTCATTTCAGGGTTTTCGCTTAATATAATTGTTATTTTCTGCTATTCATTTTCATTTTCCAATTTTATTTGCTCTTTCAGGGATTTCAAATTATACTGTATCATATTAGATATTAGACAATAGAAGTCTGAGCTAATGAAAAGGGTATCATATCGAATAACGTCATCTAAAATACGGCATCTGCTAATTCATGTGAATAGTGTTCATTCGTTGGTCTTCTTATATATTCATCATTCTATTTTACATCATTGGCCTCTTCTGGTAATACGGAGATAAAATATATGCCAATAACCTATGAGTTTGTGACTAGATGGTAGGTCTCAAAACAGAAGTGTTTTCATCAAAAATTCATTTTGCATTCTGTAACACCTACGGGTTTATCGGGTCACCAGTGAAATAATATTCAACCGTTTATTAATCCTTAGAAACCCTCTCGCTATTGCCTTGTTTTTTTGATTTGAATGAAATTTGGCAGCTGCTGTTACCAGATGCAGATTTCTCCATATCAAATTTTGGATGTCAGGCATTCCGAAAAGGCTGGAGGGTTCATGCCAATCGCATAAAGGCCAGTCTTTTTGAAATCTGATCATTGGGTATACCTACTTATAGTTCTCCCTCATTATATGGTTCCAGAACAATGCCGAATATGCTCTAAAGATAGGAAAGATGGAAAAGGTTTATCAAACGTAACTCTTTGATTTCTTCCATTAGGATAGTTGTAAGCAAGGCAATAGATGAAGTTGAGAGACCAACGAACGTGATGTAAAATTGGTTTCAATAAATCGTAGTTCATACTGTCAAAGGCTCTGCTGAAATCAAGAAGAACTAGACCTGTACAGTGTCCCCTATCTAAAACTTTGACAATGTGATCTACAACCTGCAGTAATGCTGTAGTGCAACTGAAATCCTTTTGAAACCCTGACAGAACTGATGTTAAAATGTTGAATTCTGAAATGTGCTCCTGGAGTTGTACTTCTATGACTTTCTCTAATATTTTAGATACAACCGGAAGTACACTTATGGGTCGTAAGTCTTTGAACTCAGTGACAATAGATTTTTTGGTTTCACTTTCACAACAGCACTGCCCTACATCTTAGGAACGTGTTCATTTAGGCAAAAGTTCAAGTACTCCTTTCAAAAACTTCATCTGAAGAGTATTTTCAGATAGTACATCGGAACTTATCATTCACAAACTGCTGTATTCATTAAAAACAAAAGTGGCATAAGATTTGAAGTTTGAAGATTTCTGTTTGATGCGAGAAATTTGAAACTGTAAAAATCTTGATGAAAACTCCTTCGATAAAATACATTTATTTATTACAATGAGTATAAAAAATATCTCTTTATTCTTTGGATATTCATCCGTTTCATTTAGTATACTTGTAGAATCCTTCCCCTGTTTTTCGACCCAACTTGCCTTCTCTCACCAACTTTCCTTGAATCTCAGTAGGTTTGAATAGCGGATTGTCTGGATACTTTTTATGCCATCCTTCCAAAATGAAGTGGCCAGTATCAAGGCCTGTGAAGTCTGCCAGCTCAAAAGGTCCCATAGGATAAGAAGCACCTAACTTCATAGCTATATCGATGTCTTCCGCAGATGCATCACCTGGAATGATAAACGGGTGAGACAAAGTATTTTAAATCACGAAATTCAATTGAATCGCTTTTAGATGCAAACAACTATATTCCAAAAATATTCCACTAAAGAATGAAGTTAACAAATTAATTTACTTTTATTGAACAGAGTTTTGGATGGAATGGATTCATCTTATAGTTGGAAAAAGAAACTCTCAAAAACTGGGAAAAGAATAAGGAAGATGTGGAAAACCAAAGATTGTCTTTCATAATATTGTGAAATTAGTTCATTGGTGAATTGTGGAAAACACAAAAAGGGGGAAACGAAAAAGTTTCCGAAAGTAATCAAGCTTACTTGCCTCGTTACGAGAGGAAGCCCAGAATTGGTGACAATGAAGGCATCTATATTGAAGACTTCGCCAATATGATCTCAATAAAAACGTGTGCATATACAACCATTCTCTCAAACAAAGAGAAAAACACTAAGAAAGTAATTGAGGAGAAGGAAAAACTTTTTTCTAAAATGAGAATTAGATGGAGGTGATAGGAAAATACTACCACGACTCAAGTGTACCAGAGGACAAAGCAGGAAGAAAGCCGGAGCCAGTCCTTCCCTTGAACTCCTAGTAGATGGATTTGTGATCCCAAGCGGACCGCAAAAAAAATCACGCCCTAGAGGAAGCCAAAGGTAAACATGAAGAGAACAGAAGAGGATTATCGCAATTATCAGACACCATCATCATCAGGATTGTCTGAAGCATGCGGAGGTGATGCCCATGCATATGACTGGAAAACTTATATTTTTTATAGATAGCTATCGGTCGATCTCGCTGTTCAGTGCGATGGCGAAGGTTATCAATAAAATTATCTTCAGTACACTTTTTCGCCTGGAAGATAGGATAAATCTCATTCCCAAGGAAAAATTCGGGTTCCGGCGAGTTTGGAATACGACTTTCCAACTGATCAGGGTTGTTCACGGGGTGAAGGTCTCTTTCAACCAGGGGATGAATACCGTAATGGTCCTGTTGGACCATTACGGTATAGTTTGGATACAGAGATTTGTCGCCAAGATGTGGTTGGCAGGCATATCCTTATTTGCGATTAGGATTCTTGAATCCTACCTGAGCTAACGAACTTTTCGCGTAAGAGTGGACCAAACCACATCTGCGAAATAATCAATTAGAGCAGGTGTTTCGCAGGAACTGTCACTATGGTTTAAAATACGATCATTGTTGATGTGAAAAACTAGTTTTTGAGAATTCGAAGCAGGTATAGGGAAGTAACTCCCATGCAGATATTCGTAAATATACATGAAAATGATATGTTTAGTTTACTTACCTCTTTCCAACATACGTACGGCCTCCGCAACATAAGGGACCAGAAGCCTATTCACAACAAATCCAGGAGTATCTTTACACGTAATGCAAGTTTTTCCTATGGCTTTACCCCAGGCCATCATTGCTTGGTACGTGTCATCTGTTGTTTCAGGAGTCCTAATAACTTCCAGCAGTTTCATAACCGGCACAGGGTTGAAGAAATGTAGACCACCGAATCGATCTAAACGTTTCGTCACTGAAGCAATCTCTGCGATGGATAACGAGCTGGTATTCGAAGCAAAAAGTGTTTTCTGAGGAGCAGCATCATCAATATTTTTGAACAGTTTATGTTTCACTTCTATATTCTCTACTATGGCTTCCACAACCAAGTCTGCATCTTCGACCCCCGTATTTATGTCTGTAGAATATTTCAAGTGAGATGTAGCGCCTTCAATGAATTTTTTAGCATCATCCGCATTTTCCTTGTACAATTTTTTAGCTACTCTCTTGATATTGTTTAAAATGCCAGCCTCAGATTTTTTCAGTATGTCTGAACTCACATCTACCAGAATGACGTTATGTCCACTTTGCGCTGCCACCTGAAAATATCAAGGTAAATTATCTCGAAAGAAGGTGGTTGTTGAGGAATATGAATTGCTTTATCCCACATCTCTGACCTATGATTAAGTATTATCGTTTTAATGTATATCTGTCAATGAAACATCTGTGATACATGAAAGAGAGCATGAAAAGTCAGTTTCTCTCTTCGGGATGTGTGGAAATTTAATGTTGTTCTTGATGTACATAATACTGTTCAACCTCATTCTTTTATCTTCATCTAGTAATTCAATATCTGAACTTCAATATTGTAACTCTTTCATTTATTATATTGGATAGCTTTTCTATGAATGATATCTATTTCAATTCCATAGCGAATGTTTAAAGAACAAACTGAATAGAAAAAGTGATTTTCGTATAATTCAATGTTCATATAAAAATATTTGTTTCGAAAGTACTTTTTTTTATGTAATCCAATATGTTCGTGAAAGTAGTTGTTTCGGGAGGATATTTTCTTACAGTTTGTATCTAAATGTAATTTCAATACGTGATCTACACATCTTTGTTATGAGTTTCTTCTGAACTAAATAGCTTTCTTCCGTCCTTCGGAGTTTCCTGTGAGTTACACGATTATCTGAGAGGTATTGATGATGTGACGAATGTTTTTCAAAATATTTTTAGCGTTTATCTTGTCGGCTTCATCTGAACAGTTTTAATTAAGGCTTAAATACATTGGAACTTGGGAAAAGAGTTTCAGCTTCCTACTTTGCCTTCTTTATACGAGTATTAATATGTTCTAAAGATATGCTCCTTTCAATTTAAACACCCATAATTTTATTGCATATCCTATTTTGTGAATAATTCAGTCGGCCTCATCATTTTGATGAGTTTATAATTGAAGTGACAGCAATCTACAGTTTCATTATTAATTGAAAGATTTTCAAATATTCTTTCTAAAGTCGTTTTGGTCGGTTTGGTCGGTCGGTAGCCAAGCGGTTCGGCGTGGGTGATTTGTTCACTCACTCGAATTGACTGCCGTGTTGGTCGGTGGTTCAAGCCCTAGTCTGAACGATCGATCTTCACTTGCTATCGTCCAACCCGTGTTAGGAATCACACGTTAAAAGGTAAGACCTCGTTAATCCTTAGCTCGCACAAGTTTCGCCATCTGACGGTTGTCGTTCGTAGGGGTGCGACAACTGGTTAACGGAAAAACAGATTTTAAAACAGATTTTTTAAAGTCTCAACTAATCAACGTGTACTTCAAGAGTTTCCAATTCATTTATATTTTGCAATTGTGAATTCATTTTTCGATTGTCATCAGGCTGTAAGACAGTATATCGAAATTAAATGAAAACTGAATCCTCCATAGTGAGGTATTTCACTAAAAATGTTTACTGAAAATCTCACAAGTATTTTTCAATGCGTTAGTTATGGATTTTCATCAAGTACCGGTCAATTCCATCATATAAACAGAATATAGAACAAATGTCAATTGAATATGTAATATATGTACCTATTCTATTGCATCCGATTACATATAAGTGTAATGTTGACCATAACTCAAAACTTGAATGATAAATATATCAGTAGTCCATGAAATCATTTAAACTGACCCCGATGAAAGTGAGTGTGGAACAAGGATAAGTTTACTGACCTGTGCTATTCCTGAGCCCATCAAACCTCCGCCTATGACAGTTACATTTTTTATAACATTCAAACTCTGCGTAGTTGATAGACTTCTCTTGATTATACAATGAAACACAGACATTTTGAAATATATAAACGGTATGACAGAACTTACTAATAATCGAATACCGACTACATTCAAGTTATGTAATGTCGAGGTCACTCCGCGTTATCAATGTGAAAACAACTAAAAATACCTCAACGTTGTCAGATTTGCTGATATTTTTTAGATTAGACATGTGTAATTGAAAATGCTTCGTTATTTCATAAAAAAAGTGATTCGATTTTTGAAATGAAAAAGGTTTATAAACTTTTGAAAATAACGGTAAACATATAATATAATAAGAGTATAAATGTTCGTTGTTTTACTCGAGAGACATTTGACATAACCGTGTTAGGAATCACACGTTAAAAGGTAAGACCTGGTTAGTCCTTAGCTCGCACAAGTTTCGACTTTTGAGGGTTATCGTTCGTAGGGGTGCAACAGCTGGTTAACGGAAAAACATATTTTAAAAAATGTAAAACCTCAAGGATATATTCAGTGAAGAAGTTAACTTCGCGAAAGTGTATTTCTAATTCAGTGGTATATATGTATATACGCAGAGGCACGTGGAAACCAGAAAATTTCTAAATCCTATTTTCTGCTGTATCTTTTTTATTTGCAGAACTGATAAGAATCGTTGGGGATGGAAATTTTTAGTTGTCACTTTTTCCATCTTATATAAAAAAATGTGTATTTTAATGTTGATATGAAAGTGATTATTTTGAGGGACCTTTTTTTTCTAATTCGTGTCTGAAATTTACTTCTTTGCAGTAACTTCACATCTTTGTATACAGTTTATTTTGAAATTAATTGAATTCTTCCTTTCTTCGAAAGATTCCCGTATTTTTTCTTTGCAGTAACTTCACATCTTTGTATACAGTTTATTTTGAAATTAATTGAATTCTTCCTTTCTTCGAAAGATTCCCGTATCTTGTGTATTAAGATGGGAAGTAGAGAGCTAGAACCTTTCTTTCCTAAAAATAAATCTCTGCTAAAAACGAACCCCTTTCAATTTGAACAAGATTCCTATGGCTGGGATTGAATAAGATGAGTGAATGAATGTCAGTACGTACTACCATCAAGGACATAAGTAGATTTAACTCATTCGTGACATGAAGTCTCAATTTTATGAATGAATAATTGAGTAGTCCCTTGTGAGGCGAGCGAGAAGTATCGCGGAAAACCTTAGGTTCCGCAAGAAACCTTCTCACTCATTCCAAGAGCCTCCACGTGTTGTCGATATAATCTATGAACACCCGCAGCCACTCAACTTGGACACTCCAGTCCTAACGCAAAGCTTTCAGCAGAGAGTTTCGACAGCCTGAGCTCAATGAACTGCGCAACCAGATAATCCCGGATGACGTTCGAAAAGCTCTTGTGGGTTCAAAGAACTTTGCTGCTTGAGTCTTAGATGGCTAAACACTTATCGGTGGAAAAAACTGCCCAGCATCCACTGCCATCTGGCCGGAGTTTCCAACTCATTGCTGGATGGAGAGCATCCGATTCCAGATTGGTTTGTCGACGGGCGAACATTTCTCCATTTTCATCACCAAAAGCTGAGACTTGTCGATTTCTAAGAATTTCATACCGATAACATGCTTAAATTCGTATTATGAGTTGTTTACAAACATCTTATATACACGCATACTCACCGCAGTTGACAGAATGTTAGAACGGATATTTGAGCAGAGAGGGTCGAGATGAGGAGTGGTTGGATGTGAAGAGAACCTGCTCTTCGATAGATGTGTAACGTAGGACTCGATACAGTATACGCGTAACCTTTCTATGGCCTGGATATTTATTGGAACTATTCGTTCCGCACCCTCATGCTCATACCAGCCAATAAGCCTGATGTTGTCCTCGACCACCAGAGCAAGAGTTTTCAGCTCCTGGAGAGACAAATATCGTCCTAAAAGAGGAAGAAAAATGGATAAAATATCGAGATTTTTTCTTCTATCTTCACAGATTCTATCCAGACAACTTGGTCAAGATAGTTCTTTTGATTATTGGTGTCCTTAGTGGAATGATGCCCTCTCTTGCCTCGAATCCTAAAATCATACCGGCTTGCCGCACTGAGGCAGAAATCTTAGTCGGACAGATGCAGAAGGCTGTCACTCTTGGCTCACTGCGCTTGCTAAGGGTACATGATTCTCAGAATGCATCGAGAGATAGGGCCTGACCAGCGTATACTACGGTAAAAAAATATAATAATGAAGGTCTTTATTTACCATTACAATGAACTCAAATGGAATAAAATACAAAAAAAATTCATCATGGTGGAAAAAAGCCGAACATCAGATTAGCTGCAGGCAGCCCCTGTTATTATTCAACATCAGGTAGTTAATAAGAACAAACAAAATTTCACGTATTGGAAAATTTAATTTTATAAGGAAAAACAGGTGAAAATGACTTGTATGAAATACATCAATAATTGAGAGAATGTAAGATGAGTTATCATAATGAATTTATTGGGATGTGAAATTAATCATCGAAGTGTGCCAAGCAACACCCAACTTAAGTGGCAACACTGCTATTCCATGAATGCTCATTGAAACAAAGTTTGGGTATTCATTAGGTCGGAACATATTGAATTAATTTCCATAATTGCGTGTGAACTTTCAAAAATGTACCATTATTTTCCTTTCACTTGCTTTCAACATTAGTGTAACACTGAAAATATTAATTATGGATTCAATTGAAAAGAGTATATTTTTCTGAGAGAATAATTTTTGGGAAAAAAACGATTTGGCTTCGTACTTCTTCATCTTGATATAAAAAAATGTGGGAATCTTCCAAAGAAAGAAAAGATTCAATTCATTTAAGAAAAATTAACTCTATGCAAAGTTGTGTATGTAGATCATGCAATAAAGTAACTTTCAAGCACAAGAAGAAAAGCTCACTCGANACATCATGCAATAAAGTAACTTTCAAGCACAAGAAGAAAATGTCACTCGAAACAGCTACTTTCATATAAACATTGAATTACACGGATGAAAAATTACATCCGAAACAACTACTTTCATATGAACACTGAATTATACAAAAACACTTTTCTCTATTAAGTTTGTATTCCAAACATTCGTTATGGAATTGAATAAGATAACATTCACAGGATTGCTGCACAATATAGAAAATAAAAGAGGTAAATTTCACTTACATGGATACTATCATCCTCACCGGTGGACATCCGATGTTTCGGCATCAGGCACTTGCCTTATCACCTCTTCAGCACCAAATCTGTATGATATTATGATGAAACACTCGATCCATTCATAAAATCACGACTTTACGTCACGAATGAGTTCAATCTACTCGTGTTATCGGTGACAGGTACATAATGACATTCATGACATTTTTGAAAATTATTGGGTAGGTAACAATTTTTTTGAGTAAAGGACACGTCAATCTATATTTTTCAGTTCTTGGGTATGTTAGTAAACTGAAAAATTGTAGACATACGTTTGATATAAGGAATTTTTATCCCTTGATTATCATATCTTCGGTCTTTTGGATTTCATGGCATTTTTCTTACGGCGAAAGATGTTCGAAACACTTGCCATACTTTTTAAAAAACCTTCGATATGTTCGTGGACATTTAAGAAATCGTCATTATCACATTACTTTGAATCTCACTATTTTCTGATGTTACGACTTGACCACTCGTACGACAAAAATCTTATGTGAACAACTAATAACCTGGCAGAATCTACTGCTGAAGAAGTTTCCCAAATAGGTGAAAGTACTAAGTCGTCGCCTAAATGATGTCAAAGCACAAATTATTCTACCTTTTTCAATTAACATGTTCGGTATAACATTAAATACTTTACCAGCGGTTATACCAATATTCACAAATCATTTCAAATGGAGTTTTTTTAAGGACAGAACACAAGCACTCTAGGAAAATACTTAAGGCGCTCTCGGAGCGGTGCCTGTGCGAAAGTAGCGATTCACATTGGATTTGAATCGCTGGAAATCATATCCATTCTGGAAAATGTTCTCATCTCATCCAGCAATGTTTCCAACTCATTGCTGGATGGAGAGCATTCGATTCCAGATTGGTTTGTCGACGGGCGAACAATTCTCCATTTTCATCACCAAAAGCTAAGATTTGTCGATTTCTAAGAATTTCATACCGATAACATGCTTAAATTCGTATTATGAGTTGTTTGCTCAGAAAGTTTATTTCACATAAACGTAGTTCTCCAGATCAAAGAGTTCTTGAACACTGAAGCTCGAGGCGTACTGAGTTGAACCTTGAGCAGCCACAGTCCGTCACGTATTTCTGATTTGTACCGCTCTTGGTGGAATCGAATGTGCCAAGTACTTGAACACTTTCCGTGAAAGTATCTATAGAAGAAAGACAAATCTCCAACTTTTTTTCGATGTTCCAGGTTATCAAAGTTTTACGTGATGTTCGCGTCTTAAATCAAGTTTTCTGGATGGAATCCAGCAACTTCAGGGCCTGTTTGGGAGCAGAGCTCTATACATGAGAACAATACTCCAAAGAAGGTCTGATCTGAGTTTTATAAAGCATCAAAAGTTGCTGAGGTGTGTACAGGTTTCTGGTTCGGAACAGTGTTCCAAGCTTTCGAGAAGCAGCCTTTGCAATTCCAACAGCATGATTGTGCCAAATCATATTGGTGCCCATTTTAACCCCCAAAAAACTTATCGAGCAGATAGCGGAATTGTTTCACCTGACATTATTATATCCGATTCGGAGACATTTATCTTCTTGGAGAAAACTGATGGCTGGGTTTTCGTGGCATTGATTTGAACTTGGTTATTTTCACCCCAATTCAAAATCACTTCTAGGTCATCATCAAGATATGCAACTTCCTGCTGTAGGTGAAGATGTGCCTCCGTAACCGATATCCTGAAATCCAAACGGAAATAGGAGACAAGTGTGCTGAGTCAGCAAAACGACATATTGGATTCTTGATTGTTTTCAATGAGTCGTTGATATATAATAATTAAAAGGTTGGAGACAATATGGATTCCTGGGGAACACTAGCATTAATGGTGAAAATATTTGAGAGATATCCATCGACGCCCACTTGCAGAAGAAGTTCTTTGAGGAATGTGAAGAGCCATACACAAAAATAATCCGACAAGCCATAGCATCGAAGTTTGGCCAGCAAACCCTCAT